GCCGAACGCGTCAACCTTCTGCTTCTCTTTCTTTTCCATTCGCCGTCCTCTTTTATGTTAAAAACTTTAATCACTCGTTACACACGCAATTGTTAACGTAATTATATCATGTTTGGTGTCATTTTAATCAAGAAACCTAAACAAATACAACAGTAAAAGTTTCATGAAAAAATAGTAAGAAATAAGAAAGTTACAATCTTTTCCTTTACTTGCATTATTATGTGTCTCACCGATATTCGATCCTCGTCGTTTCGGCGACCGATCGTGTTTCATTCTTGACTGATTTCGAGGGGGATCCCCCCAGTAGTGGGGATACAATTTTAACATTTACGGTAGAGATCTTTTTAACATTTACGGAGAGAATACTGTACTTGCTGAGTTATTTCTGCAATGTACGTTGTACATATCATACTGAATAGCCCTGTGTCATTTTTCCTTTCCATCAAAAGGTGACCACTTATCTAAACTTATCTATAATTTTTCAATAGAATTTGCGACAAATGTCATATATGTTATCGTATATGTTATTTGAACGTATATCATAATAAACCGGCAACAACTATTTGAAATAAAAATACAATATAAAATTGATATTTTTTTATCAAGAAACCTTTGACATTTTTCATTTTTTCTACCAATGCTTACAAACAAATATTGTGTAAGCTGGCATAGTTACATGTTCATTATATCCATCGATAGCTTTTAATACAATTTTGATGCATTTAACGATTTACACATCTTGACATTTTGTATTAATTACTAGATTCATTGTCCCACAATCAAATTATAAATAGTCAAATTCTTAATTCAGAACAGACGCTTTATTCTTAAAAAATGTTTCTACCTTTTGAAAGAAAAGAAACTTTTTTTTAGCAAATACATACAAGAACTTTTATTTACAAACTTTTAGAAAACTTTTATCATCCGTTCATTTTTGTTTTCATTCAATAACAAATATTTCTTATTTTGAGTGGGTCAAAATCCACTCATATTGTAAATTCATACAACAGACAATATTGTAAATATTATTAAAATAATACATATTGTAAATGCATGCGTTGATCTTCTTTAATTCATTTACGATCTACATTTAATTACATTCAAGTATCAAATCATTTTGTTATACTCGTTATTATTAACTTTCATTCCATCATTCACCTACGTATATTGTAAGGATGCCTATATTTCACACACAACAGTTTTACAAATATTATTATTGTCCGATTTCTCTTCATGTTCTTCTCTAATAAGTCTCTAACAAAATACGTCGCCCTCGTGCTTTTCCTAAGGTTTTATGGGGAACGCATTTTCACTTTGCAGTTTCGAGAAAAACACAACCTTACCGTTACTACGGGCCTGGAAAATATCAACCGAGTCTTGTTCAAATCTACTCTCGAAACACTCTGAGAGACTTCTTAATTTACGGTGTTCCGAAATCAATTCCGGCCATTGTGCGCTCGCTCTTACAATATTGACTATTCGTTCTTACAAAGTGTTGTACTTTTAATTTTATACTGCCACCGGAAATATTGCAATATGTTTAATATGCTATTTAACAAGTAAATAAGATTTTGGAATTTGTGTTGCATTTTTATACGAATAAAATAGGAGTTATAGTTTACTATTTAATACACTGCAAAATTAGTTCACATTTTTGGCCAAATTTTTTTTCAGAATGTATCGTAGCAATCTTTCCAATATGAAGAAATTTCATTTTTCAAATTGTTATTTAGATGTGATTGAGTAGGCGGGTGTTACGAGCCGGAGGGGTCACAGCCGCGTGGCTGGGGACTGTATTTTGGTCAAGGTAGTGTTACTAGGCTAACTCAGGTTTGTTACTTAACCTGAGCGCCAAAGGAAAATAGACGCGGGGATGAGCCGACGTATGGCTAACGCCGGGTGTCACAGGAAATGTTAGTAGTTGTGCTCGTAACAAAGATATGCCA